CTACTACTACTACTACTACTACTACTACTACTACTACTACTACTACTACTACTGCTCCTGCTACTGCTACTGCTACTGCTACTGCTACTGCTACTACTACTACTACTACTACTACTACTATTCTTACATATTGTGTATGTGTGTCTTTTTGGTTGGCGCTCATGGGTGTACCGGTGCTCTTGTGTATAGATATGGTAAAAATGAGCTTCAGAGGGTAACAATGATAATAGTTGCATTTTGGACCAGATGTTACTGAGATAAACCGAACGAATTATTGATTTATGTGTAGGCCTGCTTTCTAATAGACCTCTATCCCAAGTTATTATGTTTAGTAGAGCAAAGCACCATTGCCATAAGGAAAGACAACACCACTGTGGTTTGACTCTTTTGTCTGTCGCTAATGCTGATGAATTCACCCTCATAATGATTGATAGTCATTAATCATGTCACATCCCTAGTGCCTTGTCAGTATGAATTGCGTTGCCGAGGGAGCCAAAGCGCAGAAAGTTCGCCATTTAATTTACCTTCGAATTACAAAGTTCTATCTGATATTTTGGCCGTTTTGAGTTACTAAGAAGACCATAAAGTCAGAAACCAAATTATCTATCTGCTACATCAGAATTGTAAGATTATTCGGAGTTGTTAGTAAGATATTCAAAGCTTTACATTCGAGAATGCTTGACATGTTGTGAAACTCGAAATTTATTACGTCAAATTTCTTAAAACTAGGTACTAACTGTTTGGTACTGAGCTGATAGAACTTTGTAATTCTGGGGTAGCAATTCCCCCCCGCGTTCCTCTATCTGTTGTCCCGTCGTAGAGTTCTCTTGCCCACAAACTAGTCCACTTTGTGATGTTTTTGGACCAGCCTTTTAATATAACCCGCTAACTGATAATCACTAAAACCAGAAGCCGAAGGCTCTATTTATTAAAGTAAAACTCCCCTTCAGCATGACGATCGATAGCAATGGCAGGGACAAAGATTGTTTTTGACGATTTCTTCACACATCGATAACTTTTGTCTACAGCACACATCTGTTATCAACTTGATTTTGAATTTAAATTTTAGTACCGGCAATACATTTTTTACACATTTGCATCCTGTGTTAATGTTACTATTTTTACGACCCTGTCGACCCAATTTAGATCTTTTAGGAAGCGGGGTTTGATCATGCCTGTATGCAACATCCCAGCAGAGAAACCGAGATACTCCATAAAAATTTTCCCCAGACGGGAATCAAATTCGGGTCTCCTAAGTATGACGACGAAGCTCCTAATTGTCACGCCGGCAGATATTCTAAACGATAGGGCCATACATATTTAATGTAGCAAATTAAAAGGTGGCCCCTTTCTATAACTAAGGAATGATATTAATATACATTTTGAAACGCAGATCTCGTTATTGGCTTTTCTTTTTAACTGACAATGATTTGTCTAGTTCTGTTTTTGACGGGTGCGCTAATTAAATATTTAGATGTTATTGTCTCTCCGTCTGTATGTCTCTGTGTCTGTCTGTGTGTCTGTCTGTTTCTGAAATCTTCAGTAGAAGGGAAATAAAGAACAAAACAAATACGCACACATACAGACACACATTGTCACAGACACGGACAAAGACATAGACACACACACCCACACACACACACA